AGCTACAACCGGCAGTACTCCTGCGGTACCTGGATGATTACTTCGCACTTTAGCCACATGGAAGAGAAAAACTCGAAGCGTTTTTGAAGTTTGTAAACCAGATTGATGGAAAAATTTAATTCACGATGAAAGTAGAGGAAGGTGAGCAGTTACCGTTCCTAGATGTTAAAGTGATTCGCTTTAATGGAACTCTGAAGTAGAAATTGTTCAGAAATAAGTCTGGAATAATACTCAATTTCTGGTCCCATCACAATTACAGGCCAAAGATAGGAATAATGAGGAGTATGCTAATCTGAAGCCTACGCTTAACGGATGCCGAATTCCGGGATGAAAAATTGGAAAAATTCAGTAAGATATTTCTCGGCAACGGCTATCAAAGTGAAGTAATACAAAGAAACAGACGGGCCGTTAAAAACGGATGGCAGAACTTGGACTATTAAATAATAGTAAGGATGAAGAAGGATTCAAAAGGTAGAAATGCTTGTCTTCCTACAAGCTAATTCAAAAACTCGGGCCAATGTTAAGGAAAGGGTATATTCGGGTGGCCATGAAAGAAAAACAACACTTTTCACAAGTCTCCCGATGGAGCATTAAAGAGTGGACGAATTGGCTTATTCGGGATCTTACGGTATACCATACGGCGCCTGCGAACATAAATATATTGGCGAAAGTGGGAGAAAAATTAGCACACGAATCAAGTAAAATCAAAGGCCCTGCAGGAAAATGGATGCCAAAAGATAAGAATTGGCGAAACACATCACAAAGACTAGACAGGAGATCAATTAGAAAGCCACAGAAAGAAGGGCCTCATACGGGGACAACACAAAAAATCCAAAGATTATGGAGGCTAATGACAGGCTTTTGGACAAAATTTAATTTATAGAAGATTGGTGAAAGGTAGCGTTAGCGATATCTTTTTCTACTGCTTAAGCAAACAAGGGGTGAACAAAAATACAGCGAGACTAGCAAAAAGGAGACGTCTGGATCAGGGATTTTTCGCTAACCGGAGGAAAAGGGATCTCGGTGAGAATAAAGCCTAGGAGGAATTTCGATAATCAAGCAAAGATGTTATCAGTGAGTAAAGTCTGTTCGAAGAAACCAGTACAACTTTGTGGGCCTGGCTAGGCAGACGGATAAGCACAACCGTCAAAGAAAATCTGCATTATGACCAAAATGTACAAGAAATCCACCTAAAATTCCGAAGGCGACCAGGGCTAGGCGCTCACAATTTGCCAAAATAAGACGAGTTTAATCAAGGCGATGCACCCTGGGACTGGAACCAAGGGAAATTTGTAAATCATAAAGAAAAGAAACGCTTCTACGCAACGATGAGAGAGATCCAAATTGGAGTCCCGAGTCAGATTAGCCCATAGAAAGAGAGAGGGCTTGGGTGAATAGCAAGTGTGACGAGGTCACACTAAAAAATGGCAAACATTTTGGCGAGTAGAATGTAAAAAAGTCAGAAGTTGTGATAGGGCGGGAGTTGGATAAGAGGGTAAAGAATTGGTAGATGGGCCAGGACAGGAAGAGGAGTGATAGTGAAACAGTTTCGGCAGAACGTTGGTCGAAGGATTGACTTCACTTGTCTCTTTGACGAGTTTGTAACTTGGTGCGGAAAATAGCAGGACTCACAGATGAGGCCGACTATGATGTCGGTGAAACGTCTGAGAATGTACCAAGTCAACGGTCTGATTCAAGGAATTATTATAACGAATATGGCAACGGACTTCGAACGAGGTTCGTTTTACTAAGTCTTCCTGTCAGCAATACCACGTTGCGAAAACGAAGTCAACCCACTTCTATAAATCGAAAGGAGACTACAAACATACCGGGGGACACAAATTTTAATCTTCATATCTTCGATTAACCTTAATCAGCTTATTTATTAAAACTACAATCCCGTTATTTTACGAGGATAAAATTCTTATTAAAAAGTTGTGCTGTGAAAATATTTTATTTACTCATACATTACATATTAATACTATTCCACTTGGATAATTTTTTTCATTAGTTTGGCTTTTCAGAATCAATTGAATACAAAATGATTTTACCCTTCGTATTTTGGCTTCTTGTTATACTTGGTTAAATCAAAATTCGGAAGGGATTTCATTGGGCCAACTTTGTGGGTTTAGAAATCGATTGCTATGTTGCCGAGCCGACCAGTCATAGGATGGGTGACGGTTAGGTCCTGGTTGACCATTCATGCCTAAATAGGGCGTGAATGGGGCTGCGTCCATGTTGGTGGGATTCCAGTAATTTTTAGGAGGAATATTTCTTCTATCCTGAAGAAGAGATGTGCGCATCATTCCTGGGAGACCGGACTCTGTTTCATGCCTAAATAACTCATTAGGTGAGAATGCTTCTTCATCTGCATTGCGATCCAGCAGTCGGAAACAGCCGTATTTGTGATAATGCAGCCAGCGACGATGATTTCCTTCGCAACGCGCTTTATATACGCAAACGCGCCACCTGAAAATACAGTAAGTATTCAGGGGCTAATAAGAAGCTAGTGATTGGCTTAGTTATTTGACTCATTAGTAAGTTTGATTATTTTTAACTCAGATATATTTTATTTATATTAAGTAGCTTTTGATGCTACTCAATAATAATAATAATAAATAATGTAATGAGCACTGTATTCGCCCCATGACGCATAAGCTAAGTTCCTGTTCAAGATCTAACTGCAGAGTCAAGGCTCAAGAAATGTGAGTATCACCGATTTGTTGATTTTGATGGCAAATAAACTTTCGTTGTGTATAAGACCTGGCTTGTTTTGCATTTTATGCCCAGCCGTGATATTTTGTATCCCCCTTTCCCTAGCAAAATGGCATAGTGTTAATATTATAATGATAGATTTGGATCAAATTCACATTCAGAAATTGAGAAGACTTCGATGGGGTCGAATTAGCAGTCCTTCCTGAATGATAATAGCTTTTGAATAGCAAAGCTAATAAATTCGATGGTATCGTAAGGCCAATCATTTGCAAAAGATTTAAGCTAAGCAGGCCTTTATTGCATCATGCGGCCTAGAATGAATATGCACTGTATAAAAAATCTATAAATCTAATTATTTACTTATTTTTAGACAACCTTTTGAAGACATCTTATTAAATTTCAAAAAATTTGTATATATATCATTAACACTATATTAGGTTTTTACTTGCCTAATATGTATTGTACTTACAAATTTTATATTCAAACCATTTATTCTAAAGGACTATTAAAATAAAGCCAGGTTAAAGAGTAGTATAAATGAAGCTAAATTTAAAAGTAATAATAGGACATCAAGAAATATTTATCAAGGCTAGATATATTAGCTGTCAATTCTAAAATTCAATTTACAAACATCATTTATAAATTTTTTTGCAGTAAACTACAAATTTTTGATTCGTGTCGACACTGCTCATAAATTTATTCAAGCTGGACCTCACTCTCTTTGTATATTTAACTTTCCTAACTCGACCAATATTACAGCAAGTTATAAGTTATCAGATTTTTCGTTTATTAACAGAGTTTTGAGGCTACCAGTTAATTAGTGATATGAGATATATTCACTCTGTTTCGTTTCAGGTGATGAAGGACAGGTGAAATAAATAAAAGAACAGTTTGGATAACATATAAGCAAAAATGTGAAACAATGCTTCAGAGTTTTACAGATTATATAAAAATTTTCAATGATTCAAATATAAGATTACTGCAATCAATATTACTACTCTTTCTATAGGTTTCAGAAAAATTACTTTTGGTAAAATCCTTATCTGATGAATAATATCAGAAGTGTAATACTTTTAAATTTACTTGAGGCTTTATCATTGGTTATTCGGAATACTATTGATGTATCAAATTTATCTAATAAAACCTAAACTCAGTGGTTCCCAAACTTTTCCTAGACGCGGCGCCCATTTTTAATAAAATTTTTCCATGGCGCCTTACCCTAAGTATGACTATTCGTAAGAGATAAAAATAAATAAAACTTGTGTATCTTTTACATTATGAACATTAAATAAATATTTAATAATTAATTTGATGGATGAGCCTGCAAATCACTGCACATTTTCTCAAAACATGGAATTAAACTGGACACGGCCATCCTCATTTCCTTTTCCACGTTGATTTTTGCTCTATACTTGCTTTTTATTACAGCGACCGCCGAAAACCTCGCTTCGAACAAATACGACGTCAAAAATGGAATTAGAATACGCTGAGCCTTATCACTTAGAAGGTGATATTCCTCTATTATTGAAA